CCTTGTTCGTTGGAGGTAAAACGAACTGGCGACCGTATAAATAAGGTAGGGAAACCTGCATTTATTGTAATTTTCTCCATCTCGTGTGTTTAGTCCGGTCACAACCTAACATAACCTTATCTCTCCCACCTCGGATTCCCGCGCTGGAGATAAAAATAGACGTTTCGTCGAACAATTGCGTCCAATATTCCTCGATCGGTCGATCGTTCCTCACGTCTCTCTCGGCCCGCGCGATGGCCACTGTAAGGACGACGATGAAGACGATGACTCTTCTCATCCTAGCGATAATGCTCGTCGCCGCGACGACCGCGACGCCCGTCGACTCGGAAAAAGTAGAGGCGCTTCGCTTCCTGCGCGCGTATGGTTTTCTGGTCATCCGATAACGCGACGTTTCTACGTCGCGCGCTGTCGCTATTTCAGGAATACCATCAATTGCCAGGAAATGGTGCGTTAATACGCTTCGCCTTATACGCAAATCGCGATGCGGTTTCACGGACATTCCCGATCGCGCGTATAGCCCGATCGCGCGAAAATGGCCGAAAACGCGTCTCATGTGGAACTTTCAGGTGGCTAGCGAAGAACTCTTACGAACAGTCGAAACGGCGTTTGCGTTATGGACGGCGAATTCGTCAACGTTCGCGCGCGATCTCCCGATATATTGATATCGTATCGAACGGGCGCGCACACTTACGCGAGTCGCCGGAACGGCGACATTTGCCCGGCGATCTGAGACGGTCAGGGAGGGGGGCTCGCTCACGCGTTCTTTCCCTCGGGAGCGGCCGACTTCGCATCGGAGGTGCACGTCGACAACGCGGAACCGTGGCACGTGTATCTGAACAAAAATCCTGCCGGTACGTATCATCTACAAACGTTAACGCACGAGATCGGCCACGCGTTAGGTCTACAGCACAGTATGCGCAACGACTCGGTGATGTTCCCGTATATATCTGACATCGAACATCAATTTCCGGTTAAGCTGAGCATAGAGGACATGTATAAAATCTGTACGGGTCTCATGACGATGGAAATTATCCGACGGCGATTCCCACAACCACCATAGCAACCGCGCCGACCGAACCCGCACGCGCGGATTTTTGCGTGTTACGGCGCGTAGACGCGGCGTTGATAATGAATCGTCGCTTGTATATAACTAACCGACGCAACGTATGGTCGGTCGACATAACCGAGAGACGCTACGATAGACCCATGAACGGATCTCTAACGGATTACGCGATATTTCTCCCAGCGAATTTCACGCACCTGTCCGCGTATCGAAGACCCTCGGGCGATCTCGCGCTATTCGAGGGCGATTTTGATCTACGTCGCGGAGTATCCCAGTTTTAAGCTAAAACCGGGTTGGCGAAAATCTCCCCATAATATCGGACTTCCCCGAGACGCTAAGATCAACGCCACGATAAACACGCATACAGGACGAACCTACGTAATCTACGACGACGACAAAGTAACGGAGATCGACGAATGTCGCATGATAGTCATTAAACACGCTCCGTTAAAGGATATATTTTCCGGAATACCGCCCGCAATTGCGTCGGCTTTCCGACACATCGACGGTAACCTGTATTTCTTTGCCAAACGTCAGTTATACGCGTTCAACGAATTCACGAATATCGTGACCTTGGCGGGTCCTTTCAACCTGCACATATTCGGTATCGAGTGTCCTACGGACGGACTGTTGCGACAATTGCGCGATCTTCTCAGTCGCGTTTATCATCTCGGCGACGTACCCGAAAGCGAGAAAACCGACGAAAAGGATGACTGATTGTGAAGCGATTTCCCGCCATTGCTCTAACGTAGTTTTAAAAATAGAATATGAGAAAGAGGAACGAAAAGCGCGCGTGGAAGGAGGAGCGATCTCTACGCGAGTATATAAGGACCGCCCATCCATTAGACACTTCATTATCGACGATGGACACTAAAGCCTACGAATGAGAAAAGATACACGACCATATACGCGGCAATGGGACAGCAGCAACAGCAGCATCCGTTCGACGATCGATCGAGACTCGCCGAGCGAAATCGCGAAAATAACGCGGAATCCGCGAAGAGAGCGAAGACGGACAACGGGTAAGAATATTAAACAGCTTATTTCGAATTAATACTCTTTCGTCCACTAGTACCGTTTTTCTCATTATCCGCATTTACTTTCAGACAAGATTACAACCGGACGCCGAGACGTGACGTCGCGATCAGGCGATCACTTAGAAACTTGGGAAGATGCTACTCATTGACCAAAACGGCATACAAGCATCTCGAAGTCGGCGTTGACGCCAGCCGACCCTCTTACGTAGAAATCGTCCTCGGAAATTGTCACGGCAAAGAGATCTTGTTATCGCCGGATATATAGAAGGAATCGCTCAATCTACGATCCACGCTTGTGTCGTACTTTCAGTGCGACGAGCGAGACGAGACACGCCCTTCAGCGCCGATACATATCGGACAATTAACACTGCGATTCGGTAAACTCAATAATCTCCGAATACACCGTCTCGAAACCCAAGGTTCGTCTGGCCCAAGGTTCGTCTGGCCGTATCGGGCACCGTGCTAAATATATTAAACCTGGAGCATTGTGTCAACCACATCGTTACATCTTTAAGCGGTTTAATCGCATACACCGATAACAAGCTAACATGTTTTCTCGATATCGCGGCCGGCGTTCACGATCAGGCGCTTATTCCGTCGGCAATACGCGACAGCGAGAGCTTTGACCACAACGATCTAATCGATTGCGAAATGCAGACTCTGCTCTTTGGAGAATCGTAACGCGCTTATCCTTGTTTGTATCTCTGTATTATTAAAAAATAAAAACGCTCTCCTTTATTATAAGAACCTCTCTTTATTCGACCTCCGTCCGTTCGAGCGATAACCTCGACGCCGGATATCGTGGTGCGCCCGTACGTGTGTATCTATTTATAGATTTATAATATGTATAATGCTAACAAGTGTGTCTCGTATCGCGCCGAGTACGATAGTCGGTTCGCCCGCTACATTTTTAACTTTTTTGACTATGTACCTCTGGACTGCTAATGGGCAGCCATTGTGCGATCCAAAATCTCAGCGCCCGCAGGACCCAAATGGCCAAACCAAGAACTAATAATCACATGAATCACTTATTCTGAGTGTAACAGAAAAGCTATTTAATATTTATAGGGTAGAAAATAAATTGAAAATGAAACACGCGTTTTAAAAAATTAGTATAAATGTGATAAGAAATATAAATCTGAATAAACTTTTTAACAATTTCAATATGCTCGTAATGGATAATGATTTGTTGAGCAATCACAAGTATGAATTAATAAAAACGATAATAGAATTGTACTTAAAAATAAAATTCTATTACTTTGGAAAATAATGTACACGAAAATCGCATTTGACTTATGTTAGAAAAAAATTTGATCAAAATAATGTTGTTTAAAGGACAGTAATTATAAATTATAATAAAAAATTATTTATATTCTTTTATGTGAGATTTCCGTGGATTGAGCGCTTATTGGGCGCGTCTCCGGGCGGCGGATAGGAGGACGCCCAGGCTGCCTCCGGGTGTGACTACCCGAGTAGGCTCCTGGGTAGTAGTGGCTATAACCGGCTCCGCGGGCGTAAAACCCTGTCTGGGGCTGGAAAGGCTACTGCCACGGACCGACTCCCCAAGCCAAGCTGGGAGCTATCGGGGCGAAGGCTGCGTGGCACTGGAGGTACAGTGTCGCGAACGATGCCTCTGGGGCACCGGGCGAAACCCCAGAGTATTTAGCCTTACCCGGGCATGCGGAGCTCTGCCCGGGCGGACTTCTGTTCCCTAGCTTCTCGTGGGACCAAGTATGGATGATTTCGACGAACTTAACTAATATATTAATATTGATGATGGTCTTGGGAGGATTGAGGGTGAGGGCTCGCAAGGGCCCCCGCCCTCACGGGTGGCGGCTTCAACTCCCGAACGGGCTTCTCAGGGCTCGGGAGAAAACAGGGCCGTCGTCGGCGAAGCAGCGGTTCCTCGTAAGAGGAATCGCTGTGGAGCCGAGAAGAGGAGGGCCAGGAGGGACAGGGAGATGGCCTTAGCCGGGTCAGATCCCTTTTCCTCTGAGGCTCTCAGAGGAACTCCGAAGGGAGTGGAGAAGGGGCACACCGGCAAAAGGTGTCGGACGGGCTCCGTTGATACCCCTCCTTCGGTGCAGAAAGCGGTGAAGAGGCCTAGGGCTCAGACTACTGGGCCCTACGTCTCGGCCGCGGACCCCTTGGAGAGGGCAATTGTGCAGGAGGGCTACCCCCAACAGGCAGTGACTCCTGAGCAGTTGAACTTGCTGCGGGGAGCGGTGGTCAGTGAGCTGACGGGGATCCGAGAGAGTCCCCTGCCTCGCTTCACGGGGACTGCGGTGCTGCGTAATGGCGCCGTAGTCATTAGAGGGGAGGATGAAATGGCGCTCAATTGGCTCTCGGAGCGAATTGGGCACATCTCTCCCTGGGAGGGTGCCAAGCTCAGGGTAGTGAGCTTGGATGCGCTTCAAAAGCGGCACAGGGCGGCTGTTTGGGTTCCGGGTCCTCCGGTGTTTGCGGCGGCGGTCCTGGGGCTGGAGGAGAGCCAGAATCCGGGCATCGCCACGGCTAGTTGGCAGGTTTTTGCCGAGAATATTGGGGCTTCCCCAGAAGGGAGGAACCTCATTCTCGGCATCCCGAAATCCAGTGTCCTCAAGCTGAGGGCGCGGGACTTCAGGCTTAGCTATGGGCTCGAGCAGGTCACTGTGGGTCTGCTCGGGGCTCGTAGTGAGGCGACGGGGCAGGGAGAATCTCAGCCGGCGTCAGGCCCTCAATAAAGTGGGCATGGCGACGGTGGGATTCGTCCAGATCAACTTGTACCACAGCAGGGGCGCCTCGGCTGTTTTGGCCAGGAGCATGGCTGTGGTGCACACAAGTATTTGCCTAATGCAGGAACCCTGGGTATACGGGAGCGGTGCACTTGGACACAGTACAATTGGACACGGTGCAAATGGACACGTTGCAAATGGACACGAAACTTTGCACACGGCTCAATTGGACACAGTGCATTTGGACACAATAATTTTGGACACAGTAGCTTTTGGACACAGAAAAAAATTCATTTGGACACCGTTCAGTAGCACACCGGTCAGTTGCACACCGTTCAATTGCACACCGTTCAGTTGCACACATAAAAATGCATACCGTTCAGTTGGACACATAAAAATGCACACCGTTCAGTTGCACACCGCTTAGTTGCACAACGTTCAGTTGCACACCGCTCAATTGCACACCGCTCAGTTGCTCACCGATCAGGTGCACACCGCTCAGTTGCACTCCGCTCAGTTGCACACCGCTCAGTTGCACACCGCTCAGTTGCACACCGTTAATTTGCCCACCGTAGTTGTCAAACGAGGTCCACCCTGCCTACCGGCGGGGTGGGTGCGGGAGGGGGGCCGAAGGCCCCTCTTGCACCCCCGCCGGGTGTGTGTGTGTAATTGAGCGGTGTGCAACTGAGCGTGTGCGATTGAGCGGTGTGCAACTGACCGGTGTGTAACTGAGCGGTGTGCAATTGAGCGGTGTGCAACTAAACGGTGTGCAACTGAGCGGTGTGCAATTGAGCGGTGTGCAACTGACCGGTGTGCAACTGAGCGGTGTGCAATTTTGCGGTGTGTAACTGAACGGTGTGCAACTGAACGGTGTGCAACTGAGCGGTGTGCAACTGAACGGTGTGCATTTTTATGTGTCCAACTTAACGGTATGCATTTTTATGTGTGCAACTGAACGGTGTGCAACTGACCGGTGTTACTGAACGACAAGTTCTCCACAGAGCCCAGTCCCAGGGCCGCGATTGCGGTCAAGGGACTAGAAGCGCAACTCATGCCGGAATTTTGTTCTAGAGACGTTGTGGCAGTTACGGTGGATTTCCTCAGATTCACCACGGGCGAGACCAGGAGAGTAGTGGCGAGCTCAGCGTACTTCCCACATGAAGAGGAAGGCTCGCTTCCGCCAGGACCTGTGGCTAGGCTGGTGGAGTACTGCCAAGATAAGGGGCTGCCGTTTATAGTGGGGTGCGACGCTAATGGGCACCACACTGTTTGGGGGAGCACCAATATTAACAATCGGGGCAGAAGGCTTCTGGAGTACCTGGTAGCCACTGACCTGGAGATCCTGAACAGGGGCAACGAACCAACATTTCAGAATGTGCTTAGGCGTGAGGTACTTGACCTTACTCTATGCTCGAGAAATTTGGTTCCGGAGGTTGTCGGGTGGCAGGTCTCATCAGAGCCCTCCCTCTCTGATCACAGGCAGATCGTCTTCAAGCTTGCCAATGTGAGGCCTAAAACAATCTATAGAAGAAATCCGAGAAGGACGGATTGGGACTCGTATCGAGAAGATCTCTCCAATAGTTTTTGCGGCTTCCCTAAAAGTCACGGGACCGCTGCTGAGGTAGAGCTCTGCGTAGATCATCTACAAAGGGCTTTAGTGGGCAGCTTCGAAAAGAATTGTCCAGCGAGAGCAGTTCGCTTTAATAAGAAGATCTTTTGATGGGGAGCGGGACTGCAGAGGCTCAGGGAGGGAGCTTGGCATGCCTAGAATAGAGCCAGGAACATGGATCGCCCGCTCGACTGGGATCTTTACCGGAGGGCCCAGAAGATCTATAGGGACTCTGTAGTAGCCGCCAAGAGAGAGAGTTGGAGGAGGTTCTGTGAGTCGATGGAGGAGGATCCGGAGGCCTCTAGGCTTTGCAGAATCCTGGCGAAAAACCCGGACTCAAACCTGCAGGCAATACGCCTCCCGGATGGGGACGTGGTTTCGGGAGAGCGATATCTGGCTCACCCTCTGGAAACCAATTTTCCGGGCTTTAGGAGGGGGATTGACGTCGACTCAGACAGGGGGACCGCGGAGTCCAGATTATGGGCACGTGGGGGCGACTGGGAACTGGCGACCAGCATCATAAAACCCGAAAGGGTGAAGTGGGCTGTCCAAACCTTTAAACCATTCAAGTCCGCTGGACCGGATGGGATTTTTCCGGCGCTCTTACAAGCAGTGATGCCAGAATGGCCACGCTAGCAACACGCAACCGTAGTGGAGGGGATGACGCACACAAGCGCAAACCACGTACGTGTGAGCTCGGCGCTTCGGCTGGATAGCAGATGAGGACAGATATACTGTTTTCTGTCTCTCTCCTTCTTATCGAGCCGGCACGAAACCGGGCGATACACGTCGTTTGGTCGCTTCTCGATTGTCGCTTCTTGCTATGCCTTAAATGTTTTTTTCAGCCTTTTTGTATGAGATATATTATCTATTATATATCTATTAAATGTTTTTATTTAAAGATATAATTTTTTATTATTGTGGGACCACTACGGCCCCACGCATTCCTTCCTCGGCCAGAGACGCCTCTTCCTCGGGCGCCAGGGACACCTCTTCCTCGGCCGCCAGGGCCGCCCCTTCCTCGGCCACTGCCTCTATTTTTTAAACACCTGCTTCCCCAGCGGGCGCGGGATCGGCCGCCTGCTCTTTTTGTATGTATTTCTGAAAAAAATAGATATATACAAATAAGTAATAAACAATCAATGATAATATAACTATGCATATTTATTAATATTTTAATGAAAAAGGATAAATAAGAAAAATGTACCATTTTCATTCATTTTCTCCGGCGGCGGCTGTGGCTGCAGCTCCTGCTGCTGCTGCTGCTGCTTCTGCTGCTGCTCCTGCTGCAAATATTGTAATTGTTGATGCAACAGTTGTTGCCTCTCTTCTTGCAATTTTTGTTGATGCAACTGTTGCATCAACTGTTGCAAATTTGCCGCATCTCCATTTATTTCTTCTATAAAAATAAAATATATTATGTAAGAAAAAGGAGAAGATAAAAATTAAATATTAAACTTTTTAAAAAAATACGAATAATAATAATTTGATTTACTTACGGGACATGACGATACGTTGTGTGCAATGTTTCACAGAGAACTGAAGCACTCGTCATTATTTCATTTATTTCATACGCCGCGCATTTGTTTTATACGTTGTACTGCTACTGTTTCACGGCGCTTCTGTAAGATAATCTTGTTGCTCTTTGCGAGTCAACGTATTTTTTTATACGTGTCTTGTAAAATCTTGGTACCCAAGAAGCTGAAGCAATTGTGATTGTAAGTTATTTCAAATATCTATATTTATTTCTATATTTCTATATTATTTCTATTAATTTTTTTATTATTAATATTTTCTTTTATTCATTCTTCTGACGTTCTTTGTTTCTATCTACTTTTTGTTATAAAAATGTGTGATGAATTAAGAAAAAAATCTAAGCGAAGCTTTTCAGAAGCTTGGCTTAGTGATTATAGAATTAAATCTTGGATACGTAAAGTATCTTCTGATTATAGTTTTTATCATTGCATCATATGTAATAAAAATATTTCGTGCAACACACATGTTTTAAGACATGCGAATTCTGCGTGTCACAAAAATAATATTAAAGAAAATACTTTATTAGATAATATTGATATAAGTTCACATAAAAATATATCAAAATATAAATATAAATTTAAAGCACAATGGCTAGAGATCGAATTATTTCAGCCATGGTTACGTGAAATATCAGATGGCATTAATACATTTTTTTGCTCATTTTGTAATAAATCTATGATTGGTGATTTATCTCACATTTATCGTCACGCAGAATCCGAAGCACATATAAAAATATGTAAAGAAAAGAAGACAGAAACAATGAACATGGATGAAAATTTTAACATGATGGATGACTCACTTTTGCCGTTTGAAGACCGGAAAAAATCAGCAGAAATTCGATATGCCGCATTAATTGCTGATAAGAATATTTCGCATCAAACGGCAAAAGATATCCTTAACTTTTTTCAACAAATAGGAAAAGATCCTAACGTATTAAAAAGTATGAGTATGGGTCGAACAAAATGTAAAAATATTATTTCGAATGTATTGTGTCCGGTCGAGACGAACCGTGTAGTCAACAGCATTCAAAATACTAAATTTTCCATTTTTATTGGTGAAACATCTGACATTTGTAATGAAAAATGGATGACGTTTTTTGTACGGTATGTTGATCCTGAAACATTAGACGTTAGCACGCAATTAATAAAATTAATGAATATTGATGCAAAAAATAGTAGCGCGGAAAAATTATTTAATGCATTTAAATGTGAAATGTGGAAATTAAACATTCCATTTGGAAATATTGTTGCCTTGTCATGCGACAATGCATCTGTCATGACAGGTAAACATCTCTCATTTAAAAAAAAGTTAGAAGAATTTTGTACAAATTTATTAACATTTCCATGTCCATGCCATTCCGCGGCATTAGCTGCACATGCTGCATGTGCTAAAATACCGGAATATTGCGAGGAGTTTTTAAAAAAGATAGCAAATTATATTAATAGTAGTCCTAAGCGTGCTGCTATTTATGAAGAATTTACTGAATGTTTTCAGGAAACACAAACCGTAAAATTTTAAAATTATCTACTACACGATGGCTATCTCACCATTCATGTGTTGTGAGACTTCTTGATTTTTGGGATACTACGAAGCTTTTTTTGACTGAAATGGTTATAAGTGAAAAAACTAAATCAGGAGACAATTTATTATCTGTGATGGAAAATCCGGATGTAAAAGCATATTTGTTATTTTTAAAGCATATTTTAAATTTTTTAAATTCTTTTAATGCATTTTTTCAAGCTGTGGAAACAAGAGTTTACTTGTTGCAGCCAAAGTCATTGGAACTTTTAATAAGAATTCCCAAACATTTTTTGAAACCAGAGCTTGTAAAAAATGTATGTAATGATTTCAAATTTTTTGAAAAAAAAACCAAAAATCTTTAAATGATATAAATTTAGGTTTCCAATTTAACAGCATTATGTAGTATTGACAGAAAAACATCATTTAATGATGTTTCTTTTATCGCTCAAACCCTCGGTGGCTTTAACAAAAATGCTTTAAAAAAAGAGTGGCATACTTTACATCTAGATTTTACAACAGCAGAAAAAGAACATCTTTCAAAATTAAACTTTGATGAGATGTGGAAAAAAATTTTAAACGTGCATATCCCAATATGAAGTCTCTTTTAAATGCTGTTAGATCACTTCCAAATTCAAATGCCGATCCAGAAAGAATGTTTTCTTTGCTATCAGATTTAAAAACGAAAAAAGGAAATTAGCTTTCATCTGCATGTATAAACGCTAGTTGTGTGTTAAAATCAGCATTAAAAGCAAGAAAAGAAACAGTTTTAGATATGGAGATAAATGAAAACCATTTGTCTCTCATGTCACGACAAATTATATTCTATTTGTCCTAAGAAAAAAAGCAGTTTAACACTATATGCTGCTGATAATGATATTGCTAATACTTCGGTTATTAATATGCAATAATAACGTTCAAAATAAAATAAATAATATTATTTATGGGCATTATTATTTATATAATACAATGAAGAGCTTTCCTCGCGTTATGATATGTTCGTAAAACAAATTTTGTCTGTAACAAACATCATACTTGTAAAAGCAAATGTTCCAAAAAATTGTTGTCACTAATTGATATCACACGCTTGTGTGCGTCATCCCCTCCACTACGGTTGCGTGTTGCTAGCGTGGCCATTCTGGCATCACTGCTTACAAGAGGGGCTCGGGTAGATCAGTGGGCCGCTCACGCGGACCCTGAGAGCTTGTCTTGCTTTGGGCTACACGCCCAGAGCTTGGAGGCTGGCGAGGGTGGTATTCATACCCAAAGTCGGCAGGACCTGTTGCACTTCTGCTAAGAATTTCAGACCGATCAGCCTGATGTCATTTCTTTTGAAGACGTTAGAGAAGCTGGTCGAGGTCTATTTGTGAGATGTTGTCCTCATGCGGAACCCGCTGCATGAGAATCAACATGTTTACAAGATGGGCTACTCTACGGAGACGGCGCTCCACTCTTTGGTTTCCCAAATTGAGAGAGATCTCATGGAGAGAGACTATGTGGTGGGGATCTTTCTGGACATAGAGGGTGCCTTCAAAAACACCTCTCACGAAGTGGTTTGCTGGCAGGCAACGCTGCGGGGCGTTCCACACAGGCTGGTTCAGTGGATCAGAGGTATGCTTTGGCGGCAAGTTGTAACGACGCTCGGCGCTGTCAGTGTCAGCGACTGGGCGGCTCGAGGGTGCCCGCAGGGCGAAGTGCTCTCTCCACTTCTTTGGTGCTTAGTAGTCGATAGACTACTCAACAAACTTAATGATAAGGATTTCTTTGCGCAGGGATACGCCGACGATCTGGCAATTATCGTGCAAGGACCCTTTCTGGACACGCTTCTGGAACTCACGCAGAGTGCTCTTGGAACGGTAGAGGAGTGGTGTGACAGCACTGGCCTTTCGGTCAATCCACGGAAGACGGAGCTGATCATATTCACTCGCAGATACAAGCTGGACATTGTAGTGGGACCCACCTTGGAAAGCAACAGGTTGACACCGGCCGTGTCAATGAAATATCTGGTAGTCATCCTAGACAGGAAGCTGACATGGAAGGAGTACCTGGACGATCGG